GGGAGGTGTCCACCTACAATCAAAGATAGAAGAGAACCAAGTCCAAATAAAGCATACAAATGGACAAGAAATCAATAGGTGTGTGATCATCTCACCAGATCCTAAGCAGAGGCTACAAACATGGGGTGATAGGCAAACATTTGGCCTTTTTCTTTGCAACAAATCTAGAGTATTGATTTTTTGGATAACCACCTCCCAACAAAAAGCCAGAACTGGGGGTATAGGCTGACACCAAATCTCCTTTGAAGGAAAGCTTCTTATAGGGTTTGATGATTGAATGAGGATATCAAAAAAGGAAGAGCAAGTGAATACACCAGAAGGGGAAGGTTTCCAAATTCTACTGTCCACACAAGATTGATCCTGGTAAGTTGACCCTAGAAGTTTAATTAATCCATCCACCATTGTCATTTCTGACTCCCTTAGGCCTCTCCTTAAACCCAAGTCCCAAGAGTTATCAGTAAAGACCGAAGAGATAACTTTTCTTTTATTTTTAGAGAGTAAATAAATAAAAGGGAACCTTTCATTAAGGGGAGTGTCTCCAACCCAAGCATCTTCCCAAAATAAGACCTTATTTCCTGCACAAGCATCAAATTTGACATAAGGAAGGAATGAAGGTAAAATACCATGAATAGCTTTCCAGGGAGAGCACTGGGAAGCCCTTGGGTTGAGTCCTGCATCCCAACCATTGTTTGCCAATCCATGAATGCTAATAATCACTCTATGCCAAAGTCTATCCTATTCCAAAGGCAATCTCCACAACCATTTCCCCAATAATGCTGTATTTCTTAGCCCAAGATTTCCTATTCCTAGTCCCCTTCATCTCTACTTCTAGAAACCACCTCCCACTTCACTAGGTGGTCTCTTATGGTGTCTCCTGGTTTCAAAGGAAGTCCCTCATAATCTTCTCTAGCTAGTTTGCTACTTTCACCGGTATCCTAAAGGTAGACAGGAAATACACTGGTAAGTTAGCCAACGTTGACTTTATCAAGGCTATCCTACCTCCCAAAGAAATGTAAATTCTCTTCCAATACGCAAGTCTCTTTGTAAATCTCTCAATCACTGGGTACCAGAAACTATCCATATTAGGATTCCTCCTAAAGGTAGTCCCAGATACTGTAATGGCCAATCTCCTACCCCACACCCCAATATTCCAGCGAATTGAATCACCTCTTCACTCCCTAAGTTTACTCCTGCCACACAACTCTTGCCCCAATTGATCTTTAGGTTAGAGATCCTATCAAATTTATGGACCATCCTTTTTAGGTTCATGAGTTCTTCAGTTTTCCCTTCACAAAACATAATAACGTCATCTACAAATTGTAAATGTGTAATCGCCACTTCATCCCTTCCAACTCTCCAGCCTCTAATCATATTGTTGGCATCCCTTTCAATCTTTGTAAGTCAGGTGGTAATAAATGAGGTTCTAGGGTGTGTAACCACCAAGCTTGTTACTTTTTGTTCTTTGAAGGAAGTAGCAAGCTTGTTTTTTGATAGAATTCGTTTCATTGTCCTCATCTTAGCTGTGATAGATAAAAACAATGGGAAGCAGCAAAACATATTTTTTTATCAATTGAACATCTCTCTAACTTGTGATACAGAATGGGATACTTTTTTTTCTTTCTCTAGGAGAATTACAGGTATTGGTGTATTGCATTTTTAAGGAGTGGAGAGTTTTTCTTAGAGACTTCATTCTGTTGCTTGGTGAAAAAACAATTCTGTTTTCAGTTAATTGGATCTGTAGAATAAAATGTGAGCCCCATCCTTTCTACACATCCAAACCCCAGCTAATCATTCCCATGACATCACAAGTACAACCTTCAAACCACCTGACAAGTGAACAAAATCACCAAAAAATTCTACTCGACTCCAAGCCATATGAGAGAGAGAGCGAGAGAGAGAGAGAGAGAGAGAGAGAGACGGTGCACACCAAGCCCTTGTGAATACCTCAACACTGGACGGGTAACTACCATACTTCAAACCTGCCAAAAATCCTCCGCCTCTGGCCTCCCATCAAGCTGCAGTGGGGGAGGTAATGTTGACCCCGGCAAAGGTAGGTCTAGAGGTTAAGCCAGGGTCAGGGTATGAGAAGGAAGGAAGTCAAGCACTCAAGCTGATGAGAGTATTCGATTTGTCTCAACAAGCTGATAAAGTTAAGGAAGGGGATAAAGTGGAGCTTAATAGTTTGGTGGACAGGGAGGTTAGAATCGGCAAGTTTTTAGGGCTTTTCTTTTGGGGAGGTGAAGAGTTTGCTAGAAGAGCTTTTGAAGCTTTTGAAAAGAGCAAGAGGTAAGAGAGTGAGAAGAAGTTGTGACGGAAAGAAGAAAAAATCTGGCACGAGGACAATGACGGATGTGACGAGGCATTTGAACCTGAAGATTCAACACTTTTTTAAAGTGGGGGTGCCCTGTTTTTCTTTGTTAGCTTGTGTGCTGTTGTAACCCTGTTGTGTTTTGTGATTTGGGTGTTATCTTAAAACACCCCTGTTCGGGTTGTATACTGTTTCTTACTTTTACTCTTCAAAAAAGATTTTTTTTTATTTGCTTGTGGGAGCTTTTACTTTTCTGAGGCGGGGTGGGGGGATCTCAACCTCTTGCTAACAGCTAATTATAAGTTAAGTCTTAATTATCTCCAGAGAAGAATCAATGGCAAAGACCACTGAAGGATAGGTGGTCTTGGATTCAGGAATTGAAACTCACAATCAGGATCATCTTCTTTTCATCAGGAACATCAAGTAGTTACCTCCCATTCCATTGTATTCCTTCAATGGATTGATGTTCTCTTCCCTTGTATTCCTACAAATTTCAGTGAAGCTTGATCATTCCATTGAAATAATTACCTTCTCTATTACCAAACCCCTCTCTTGGTTTATTCTGATAACTTCTAATGTCTTGTTCATTTCTCTTGATAGCTCATCCATTTTTTTTACTTGATACTTGGGATAACCTGGTTCAATGCTAAAGGCATGGTTAAAGCAAAATGTCCATTCCATCTTTTGTGTGGCACTAACTGAATTAGCTGGGTTTATGCTGCACTAACCGAACCAATGATAAGACTCCAAACCAGTTATAAATACATGGGGCCCACACTGAAAGGTTGAATGATTGTGGGCCCCATGTATTTTAAGACTGATGTGGAGTCTTATCATTGGTTCCACAGCCTGCTGAACAACTGAAATGTTCAGCTAATCCTATCTCACACTAACTCAGCTGACTGAACCTTCAGCATGACCTATTTGAATCGTCACTTTTTGTTGTTACTGATTTATGTTTTTTTTTTTTCGCAGAATTCTGTGATCTATCTACCTAAATTTTGATCAGTTTTTTTGGGGACCATAAAACATGGAAACCTATGAGGAAGAAGGCTTTCAAAAAGACCCATTGGTATGAGCATGAGAACAAGGGTCTCATGTGAGAAAGATTTAACCTGACTGTAGAAACCATGTGATCTAAGTGAAGTTTTGTCATTTTACTCAATAAGATTAAAGTATCATATAGTTTCAAGGATTGCCAATATTCCTAATCATTAGAGAAGCACATGTGCCTTATCATCAACAACACTCGTGCTGTTCATCTTTGTCTTTTGTCTCCTTATTTTCATTGTCAGTTCACTCTTTTTTCACCTCGTCTTTCTAAAGTAGTAAGTGAATGATGGAATCAATCAATCCATATTTGTACCCAAAAAAATGGCTTTCCTCCATCCAGTAGTACTTATTTCCAACTCAGAGTCAAAGTCTTGGATTTATCTAGACAGGGATCATCTTGTATTGATTGCTCCGTCATTAACTGTTACAGTTACCAAAGTAACATCTTAGATTTGAGGGCCAATAAGTTGGCAGCAAACCTTTCAAATTGAAGGCCCAAAAGATTCTGCAACTTCTGATATTTGATCCCGTGGAATTTAATCAACTTTTGTTGAAGAGTTTTGAGAAATCTCAGGCCCATCATATTTTTTGGGAATTAATACCCTTTGAAATTTGCATAATACAACTCCTTTATTTTACTGTCTGTTTATGTTGTAATATTTCAATGATTGATCTGCCTCATGGACAGGCTTTGGGTCCTTTCTGGTGGATTGTAGGCAACCCAATTGGGGGGAAGGGTACTTCTGATATTGATGCCTAACCTGCTAACCGTTACATTTGTTACACAAACTTCAAACTGATCTTTTTGGTTAATTGGAAGAGAAAGGTGCTACAGAAGCCCTGGGGTAGCACATCCCCAACAAACACCTAAATTTAAATACAAAAGATCTTCAAGAAAAATCATAACCAGACTTGTACATAAGCTTGGACATGAATGATAAATTATAAGAAGACTTGGACGTAAACTTAATGAATGCCCCTTGAGGTGACTCTTCTCTTTGTTACATCTGTAATATGTGACTAACAAAACTCAGGAACAAATATTGGACATGATGATAAATTTGTAATGCTTGGTATTTCAGTATAATTGATCTTGGTTTGATTAATATATACATATATATATATATATATTGCATGCTATATTTTTTTTTCCTTTTTCAATAATTATCCCATGCATAATTTGGTTGACTGTTATAGCATATATGCTCCCTAGATGCCATATTTCCATTTTCTGAAGGCCTGCCTTTTGCAGTTGTTTGCTTATGATACAGTTAAAAAGCACCTCTCACCAAAACCCGGGGAGCAACCCAAACTCCCTGTCCCAGCTTCATTGGTTGCGGGAGCTTGTGCAGGAATTAGCTCAACCTTGCTTACTTACCCTCTTGAGCTACTCAAGACTCGATTAACCATACAGGTAGGTAAACTTGGAACAGGACCTCCATTGAATGCCTCATTTGTACTTATTTACATGGTAGTTTACTCTTCTGTTTGGAAAAATTGCAGGGGGATGTGTACAACAGCTTGCTCCATGCTTTCATGAAAATTGTGCAAGAGGAGGGACCTGCAGAGCTATACAGAGGTCTCACCCCAAGTCTAATCGGCGTAATCCCATATGCTGCCACCAATTACTGTGCATATGATACATTACGGAAAGCTTACCGGAAGATTTTCAAGCGGGAGGATATCGATAACCTTGCAACCCTCCTTATTGGGTCTGCAGCTGGTGCAATCTCAAGTAGTGCAACTTTCCCACTTGAGGTGGCTCGCAAGCACATGCAGGTGGGGAATGTGAGTGGCAGGCAGGTATACAAGAGTATGCTTCATGCTCTGATTAGCATACTAGAAAAGGAAGGGCTCCCAGGCCTTTACAAGGGGTTAGGCCCAAGCTGCATGAAGTTGGTCCCTGCAGCTGGGATTTCATTCATGTGCTATGAGGCGTGCAAGAGGATATTGGTGGAGAATGAGCACGAAGCATAGTAGTAGTGTCCATAAACAGGAAGGTGGGTGAGGCATTGGTGAATGGTGAAGAGGCTTTTTGAAGAAATAAGTGACGACGCTGAGTTATTTTTTATATGCTTCTGTGGACAAATGAGGAAGCGCATACATACAATGACATTTATTTTGGGTTCATTCAAATATACAACTTTCATCTGTTTTTTTCTTCCCTTGTCAAAGGATTCATTCAATTCATCCCAAGCCCCAAATTTAATGCGCTATGTTATGGTGAGAACTGGAACCGATTTTGAAGCCTTCCTTTTTTTTCTCTTTGGCCCCAATTGTCCTCTCTCTCTCTCTCTCTCATGCCTCCACAGATTTTGTAGCGAAAGTAAAAATGCAAGACCCATTCACATGGTTGAGAAGAAACTTGTTGGAAGCTCCTTCTTGGGTGGGTCCAGTTTCACAAACTGTGGTAATTGTGCAGCATGTTTAAAGGGCGCTGGGATGAGGTTGGTCGAGCAAATACGCCTATCCTAAACCGCTATACCATTTGCTTAAACTTGACGAGAACATTCTAACCTTACCAAAAAACGAGAGAGAAAATATATATTATTTTGAACCTTAAATAAGGCTGCATCTGGCATTCCTTATCTTAAGGACTTATCTCCTTTTTGCAGTTAAAATGCACCTGTGAACAATGAGTTTTTAACTGCAAAGAGGAGAAAATCGCAAGTGTATAACCAGACTCGGTAACAGTCATCAATTGTGTGCAAAAAAAATGAAAATTTCATTCTTACCTCGTTAAACGAGTCAAGTGTATAACCGAGTCATTACTTTTTTCTGATTCCGAGTCTCATGTTACTCTTCCCCCAATCTCTATAGTTAGATTTGCCACTGTATATACTTGAAGAAAGAGGAACATAGAAGAGTAGATTTTTTCCCTTAAATTTGTTTATTCCGAGTGTATACTTGTCAAGAATAGAAGGTGATCTTTGCTCCTTTATGGGTAGCCAAAAACAGGCACCTCTGTTACTGTACGAAGTTCTTTTTTCTACTGTTTCATATAATTTTTATGCTCCCTGAGGTTGCAGTACCCGTTTGTCCAAATTTGAATTGGAACCCGATAGGGGTTAGGCATTAATCTCAATCAATCGGTATACTTAATTAGATTCAATGTGGATCGGCCCCTCATTTGATTGAATCCCGACAATCGACAACCAATAAATCGCTCATGCCCATGTACAATTAAAATTTCATCAGTTGGTAAACTAAATACACCCCCAAACTTAACCATATAGATGATTACCTGGGCTACTTGAATACGAGTGCACCGACTTTCGGCAGGTTATCAGAAACCTGGATACATCCCAATCAATTTGCGTTAAATCAGTTTTGGTCTGTGGACTGAAAAAAATATAGTTTATAGTAGACTACTAGGCCATGACACATCATTGAATCCAAAACACAAGCCCTCAGCCAAAAATGACAACAGGCTACACGACCAAGTACACAGAAGATGAGCATTGATTGGTTTTAAGTTGAAAGTTATGGTTCGTGAGCCAAATTTTAAAAATATTAGAAAATCAATAAAAGGACAACGGGAACTGCTCTCTTCAACAAGACTGTAACTCAGGTTGATACAAAGCCTAATGCATCATCCTTCACCCCGCTTCATATGCATCCAAAACCAAGGGAACGGAAACCATCTCATCTATATCAAATCCTAATTCTGCCTCAAAATAGGCAGATCCACAAATTAAACACTAAAGACAAAATTGTATCCTTCAAACAAAATAAGCTAAAAGAATGACAAAAATAACAAAATCGAATTTTGAATAGGCAAGGAATGTACGAATCTCGTTTCTACAGAAGAACCCACCACTATTATCACATCTACCAAACTCTTCTTACTGCTACTCATCAAATGACCATCGTCGCTCAGACACTCAAGTCAAGTAAACTGATCGTTAAAAGCACATTTACCAGTATCAGCACATTGAAGGACAACAAACCCAAACAAAGTGAGCATCTGTCCATCAGCTCTGCTCCTCACCATCAGCTATATCCCTCTCTTCAGCAGCAGCAGCCATCAATTCATCAAAGTTCTCAGTCTTCGCCAGTAATATCTCAATCTAAAACACAGCATCATACATTAACACAAGTGTCTTAAAGATATATGGGACTTCAGGTGGACAACTAAAATACATCAGACATGTGAACCCCTAAACTTCTTACCTTTGCCTTTTGGATGGGTCGCCCCCTGGATTCATCCTTCATATCAACGGTTGATGTTGTGATCTCTGCATATGTTTAGATTTCATAGAAACTCAAATTTTAGCAATCCAATGCCTGCTTATTAAAATAGTAGAAGGTAAAAGATTTAAGTCTCACTCTTTTCAACAGCCAGTCCATTATTTTTCAGGATCTCAGCAATAGTGACTACTGTTGCAATGGCTGCAGGAACACAAAAATACACAAACAAATCAAAAGAAAACTTTAAGTTGATAGCCCTTTCATTCAAATTTTCCAGCTAAATGCAGTTAAAAGAAACAAACATGCATATAATGGACAACAAACAGGGTACCACTAGTCTAAACCATCTAGTCACATAATCATATAATGGACAACAAACAAGGTACCAGCTCATGGGATTTGGATGCATGAATCATGTTTCACCAATTCATACTATTTTAAGTCATATCCACTGTTAAATTATTAGTGCTTAAACCATTTCTTACTACTTCTACCAATGACCTTCCAGATACATGCCATTAGCCAACTGAAAGTGAATGGGTTTACAACTATTTTTCACTCCATCATGGCAAGGCTTGAAATAGATGGTCTACTGAAAAAGAGAAACCCAAGAGTGAAAATGATAGATTGAGGAACCCAAGGCCAATATTTCATAGTACTATTAACAATCTATTTTGGGGCTTGCTGACAGTCCCAAAAGTCAGCAGTCTGTGCATTTGCCCCAAATCTCACGTCAACCTAATAAAAGGCAAAACCAATAATGAAATGCCTATAACATCTCTATGGTAAATAAATCCAGAAGGGATAAGCTGACATGTAACAGATAAGAACAGTAGCAAAAACTTCAAACACTAATGTTTGTATGATCAAGGCATACAAATATATGATTAAAATAAATTAAAAAAATAAAAGAATTTTCTATATTTGATACAAAAAATTGCATTCATCTTGTACATTAGCTATTAATTTATTGTAAAATAAACTAGGAGATAAAAAAAGAAATATTATGTAGAAGTTCTGTCAAGAATCCGAGTGTCAAAATCCAACACATGTCTGATGCAGACACATCCACTTAGAAATGTCCATGCAGCACTAGTGGTATTAGAAGTCATAAATGCATTAATAAATTCAAGGCTTCGAGAAAAAGGAAAAAAGGAACTCTGGACTTAAAATAGTAAAGCTGCATTTCTTTATAAACAAAGAACTGATTTTTTTTCTTCTGGTGAAAACAGCCAAAGACCAAAGAACCAGGATAAAACAGGGAGAAAAACAAGCCCTTCAATTTTTTGGATGAAATTCCAAAGACAAGCAATAAATCATTAACTCTATTGGAATTTATGAAGCAGGCAACTGCCATAATCTCTCAATGCCGAATCACTATAACAAGCATAAGTTCAAGTCATTCTTTTCCTTTTTCTTAACATATGGACAGGGTGATACAAATAAATCCAAATGATTCCAAAAGGAATAAGCAGAGCAAGTGATGCAGGGCCAAAGGCATGGATGACAGAAGCAACCATACAATCTTCCAGGCATAGTCATAATACATAAGAAACTAAAATGGAAAACAACCAATTGCCTCCAAGAGACTTAAATCCAGGTTTGCATTAACCACCAGTAAGAACAGAAAGTCATTAGTAAAAAAATTGTCAAAAGAATGTCCTTAAAAGTTAAAAACATTTTTATTGCTGACTGAATATTTGTATTAATTTAGAATAGTAAAGTATTAAGTAGTAATACACAGCTCTCAAAGAGATCTAGGCCCCAATATCATCGTATGAGTACAAATAGACCCAATAAAGTTGCTCCCTAGATGCACCTGATTCACAAAAGTGCCTGCCAAAGAATTTGAGGGTCCATTTAACCCATCTAAATGAGGCCTCAACCTTTCTTGCTAACTTTATAATTTCCTTGATTACCTATTTGGACACCCAAAACACCTGACTGTTATTAATCATGCAATCCACTACCAGCATAAGGTCCCCTTGATCTGGCTTAGATACCTTTAACATTTAATCCTTGTAGGAGAGATGAGACTTTGGACATTAAGGAGTCTCCAACCCCTAAAGAACATGATTTAAGTGCCACTATGGATCACAATCCACCCCGGAAGACCCCCCTTACCAGAAGGACCAGATTGCCAATAGGCACTCCCATCAAAGTTGTGTTATATTCTGTTACAGCTGGAGGGCGCTCATAATTATTGCAGTCACTTTCAAAGTGGATGAGGCTGCTGTTACATCCCGCCCTCTAATAAGGTCATCCATAGTATAGCCACTGAAGTTCTCCATTGTCTTTAGCCTTTACCATTACCCAGCAAATTACCATCAACATAATCCTTTCCATTAAACATTCCAAGGTTTTACACTACCATGTATACAGTCTATTATTCCTTGATTCCAAACTGACCATAAACAGATTAATAGCTTCTAAGGGTGGAACCCACCTGAAACAAAATAGAGAATAGAAACATACCTAAATGAAAGGCACAAATAAGAGACAAGTAAATGGATATAGTCTTGCCAGTGGAATGGAACAGGACACGAATGGGGTGAAAGAAAGCTTTTAGGCCTCCTTTTTGAAGCATACCAAACATTTTAATCTTACCAAGCAAACCTCAACAGAGAACCTGAATCTTAGGAGGAACTGGCTTACTCCAGACCTCCTTCATGATGAAGGGGACAGCTGAAAAGGAAAATGTCTCAGAACGCTGAAGAACAATGCACAAGAGAAGAAACCCTGAAGAGGCAGTAGATCAAATTCAAACCACATCTAGAGCAGCAAACAGGTCCCACAAAAAAAAAGGTTATAAACCTCTACCTAAGGCCTCTTCTAAGCCCAATCCAAGCAACCCCATTTGGAGAGTTTACATTCTCATACTACATTTTAAAGAAGATTATAAACCTAATAACAAAGAATAAAACCAACGCAGATAGACAGTTCTTGGGGGATCCTACGTGTGAACAGGGCTGATAACACCCATTAAACAGCTAACACTAACAGTTAAGTTTTTAATGATCTCTTCCATGTCATAAGTTAGAACCTAGTGACCAAATAAGGGCAAAATGCCCAGGGGGAGAACCAACAAGGGCATTAATTCACTACTTTAGACAAAAAATGAAAATGTTTGAACAAGGACAATGTCTTCCAACTTTCATGATATAAACCATTCTATGCCAATTTAATGCAACCTAAACTAGAAAGTCATGACATTATTTGATAATAGTTACAACAAAAGCATTGTTCACCGATCAAACTAACATCCCCACCTCATACATGTATACATCAAAACCATCCAGAGCATAAATTGTACCCAACCAGCACAAACAAGTGGCTGTATCAACAAGAGGGATGAGAAAATATCAAAAACAAAATAAAAGTTGAACAAGATGCAGGGAGAAAGGGATTATACCCATCCCGAGGGCGGAAAGCTCCACCTCATTGTGTTGCTGCATGTACCTCTGCGGAAACAAAAATAAAGACAAACCGTAATAAATAGATTGGCACCGATGGTAAATTTCTACAGAACAAGATACTGATGGCAAAAGGATGGTCATCATACTCTGTTCTATAAAAACAACATATGAAACAACTTCTGGAAGTTCCAGATTTATATACCGAAACCCTGACCCGGCGTCAAAAAAAAAAATAACGCACATAATACGTAATCCAAACCCAAAACAACGAAAACCAAAACAAAAATATACAATCGGAACCAAGAATTTCAAAACCACTACTGGTAATATTGGACACGGTGATAGAGTGGAAGAACAAAGACAACCGTCAAAACTCAAAACTTGCAACTCCCTAAAAACAAACTGGAAGGCATCGAACACAATTTCTGAGTTAAATTTCAAACAAAACAAAGAACAACTGATTAAAGTGATCTGAAACAGAGACAACCAATGAACTAGTGAATAAAAGGGACAGGAACGCTGAAGAGGAGAGATTCTAAAACTAAAACACAATCAACAAGAGATTCAGACCGAGTAGGTTTTACCTTCGCGAGGTTGACGTAGAAGAAGAGGGGCTTCTTCGTGTTAGAGACTTGAATGCGGTTCTTTTTGTGCGAATCGGAGATTGCCAGGTTATTCACTCCTTCTGTGACCTCCTCCATCGTAAAAAATAGAAGAAGAAAAAACCTAACCCTAAGGCTCTTCTTTTCTGATAGAAGAAAAAAAAATTCAGGGATCAGAGAGACAAATAGAACAGAAGAAATTGCAAGACAGATACAGATTCGAAGAGTAATGAGTAAAAGCTCAAACCCCTACCTTAGCTTCACTTAAATAGCGGGAAACTTTGTACCCTCACACTTTCTTTTTCCTCTTTGTGCTCGATAAGGAGGGAATTCGTTTTCTCTCCCTATCCCCTCGCTAGGGTTTCTTGACATCGTCTTCGAATTAAACCACGATGTACCGGACCGGACCGGGCTCAAGATAATAAAACTCCTTTATTTCTCGTGCATTTTTATGATTTAGGGTTACATTTTGGGTCGGACCAGTCTAACCCAGCCCACCCTGGGTTAACCCAAAATACCACCTTCTCAGCCCGAGATGCTATATGTATTTGGTGTTTGGCCCATTTGTTGTAAGGCCAAGCCCAAGTAGAATTGAGAAGAACAGAATAATGCAACAACCAGAACCAAGAGAAATGTATCTCTCTATTTCTACGGTTTTAGGAAAAATGACGGGAGATTCAACACTTACCTAATAGTCACTTAGGTTCTGTTTGGAAAAGATTTTGGTTTTGAGCTTTGGGCCGTCACAAACAAAATTAAGCCGAAAAATATGTCATCCAATTTATTGGTCAAAGCACTTCTGGCATCATGCCTTTCCACAGCATAGTTTATTTTCTCTTTAAAAATTTTACAATCTCAAACCAAAACACTTCTAAGCCCCAAACCATTCTGTAAATTTGGGGTATCGTGCTATTGAGACTTAAAATTACAAATCCTAAATTTTATTCAAATAAAACAGTTTATGACACCACAACATAACTCAATTCGGCCTCACGGTTTGGTTGGCTTATTTTTTAAACTGAATTAGGATTATTGATTTTTGGAAAACTAGTAACTGAAACTGAATCGAAGCTGATCGGTTAACCAGTTGGCCGATTCGGTTAACCATTGGTTTGATTCATCGGTTTGTCGGTTTTTATTATTTACAATATATATTATAAATATATAATAAAACACTAAAAAAGTATATATAATATGATATTTTCAATAATAAATAATATATTATATATTATAAATATATATTTATATATAATGCATATTTATTAATTTATAATATATAAAAATATAAAATATGTGTAAATATACATAAAATATATAAATATATGTATACTAGTCGATTTGATTAATCAAAATCGAACTGATACCTTTGATTTTTTAAAATACCAAACCGATTACCAGTTTGATTTTTCTTGTTCACCCTAATGAAAAAATCAAACCCATGAATGAACGTCTATGCATCAATACGTTGTGCTATTTTGAGCTTTATCCAACCTTAATCCTTTGGCCTTTTCTTCTACGGTCAAGGTAGAAAGTATAAATAAGTAAATAAAAGAGTAATGCTTGTTGAAAATTCACTGGGTAATGCTTGTGTATAGTCTTATTTTTTTCTCAGAACCCCGATTCCAATCAGACTAACTCGCCCCTAACTTCTACAGTTCTACCTATACAATGTGAGACTTTTATGAGGTGTTCGAAATTGTGTTTATCTCATGGATTGTTGTGTGTTTAGTGTAGTGTGACCAAGACTGGTCTATAATATATTGTGGATCAGCCCCATCTATAGTCAACTTCTCTTCAACATGAATTTTCCCATATAAAGTTGCACTTGGTCAATACCCATTTTACAACTTTCTATTGATACGGTACATCACACCTCTTCTTTTTTGCCCTACATCCTTTTACCATTCAAAGATAGCTCTTTTCCTCCACTGTTGTGCTCCATCACAATGAAAGAATTATGTTTTTTATATTTTTTATTCTTCTAGTTTTAAATAGTTCAATAATTTTTTAAATTACAAGAATTATGTTTAATTTTAGTCTTGAATATTAATTTCTTAATGCTTTTACCAATAAGATTATTATTTTAAAATTATTTTGTTCCTAATTTTGTTAATATAAATTTAACAATGCTTTTTCCAATTTATTTTGGATGTAAAGTGTAAAAATTATTCATTTATGATAGACTGTATAAAACATTTCATAAAATGTAAGTAAAATGCATGGAATCAAATAAGTCACATAACCAGTCTACATTTAGAACAGCTATGAACCATGACCTGATAAGGACCAATTAACACTTCCTAATTTTTCATCCATGTTATAGAACAACCTCTTAATTAAGCTAATTTAATATGACACTAAAACGATAACGATGATTTAATTGATGATAAAATAGAATCCTAATTCACAACAGTGATTCGGGTGATGATGAAGGAAGCTCATAATTCAATCTAAACTAATCCTCTAAGTCAAGCCACTAATGACGAGCAAGCTGAGAAAGGAAATCAAACTTTATGAATTTAATACAATTGAATTTACTTTAATAAAAAAGCAAATACACAACAGTCGAATTTACTTAAAAGGAGTTCTTGATGTTCTTTCCACCGACTGCTCAATAAAACACGTCCTAACAAGTTTACATGTTCAAAATAATCATAATCCTACATGGGCAACATGCAGAACCAAGGTGAAACTAGGGCCGAAATATGCTATTGGAATTTATAAATTATAATAAGTTACCACTATCGAGTTCGGCTTCAAGCGTAATGGCATAGATCATGAAAGGATATGAAGTGAAAAATAACGTAAGCAGAACAAACAGGGAAAAAATGTCCTTAAACCAACGCAGCTCTATTTTTTCTCAAGGCTCAGTTTAAAAAGAATATAAATACAAATATGTACAGTACATATACATACAAAATAATACAAAATATAAGGTTTTACAGCCTGGTTTTACACTCACAAGCACACTACTGTCCCTATATTTGCATCTCTTGGAGGCAATAGAGACTTCATCAGAAACAACCACCACAGCAACAGAAGTTTCATCATCGTCCAGGTTTCATCGCAATGAAACCCACAATACTGAGGAAGAGTTCTTGATGCCCAACACCGGAATTGATTATAAAAATGCTCAACAGATGAATCAAAGTCATCACATCGAACAGAAGTACTGCAACATGTTCAGAGGCCAATGGGTTTACGTCCCAGACGAAAAACCACTTTATGAAGCAACCCAGTGCCCATTCCTGAGCGACCAAGTGAGCTGCCGAAGGAACGGGCGAGCAAATTTTGAGTACGAGAAGTGGAAGTGGGAAGGTAAGGACTACAACATTCCGAGGTAAGCAATTAACATGAAGCCAACTTCAATATTTCTATGTTGCAATAACTTCAATCCACACCCGTGTGAACTTTATGGTTTTAGGAAGAACGGTGGCCGGAAAAACGTACTGCCAAATGAAAGCCCTCTCTCCGCTGGTGGCTTCCGATTTGTTCGATGGGAAAAAAACAAAAAATGGGAGGAACGAGTGAGAGAGTTCCAACTTTTGTCATATTTTGTGTCCGGTTCAACCGGCCACTTCAGTTAATGATTAAAGGCCCGTTAATGTATCTTCACTGTCATCCAACCGACATGATCACTTCTCATTGGCCAGTTCAAATCTCCCCAGTGTATTCAAAACATCTTCCAATGACAATACCAGAACAAATGACCATACTAAAAGTTCCAAATACATGGCAAAAATGTACTATGAGGCGTTGTGGGGCAGAGAGGTCTCCTCATTGGCGGGTTCACGCATCCACAACTCTCCTCATTGCCAAGTTCTGGTTGCACGTGGCAGTTCGAATCAATCATGATTTAAATTCTTAGGACCCAGTTTGGAAGGAGACGGTACAATTCTACATATACTCCTTCCAAACTGAAACTAAGAATACAAATACAAATTTGTAGAGTGTAAAAACCTTATATTTTGCATGATTTTGTAATGTATTTGCACTGTACATATTTATATTTGTACGCTTTCCAAACTGAGCTTACAGAATACTTGCCATTACAAATCATATAGAAAATAAGGTTGCATTTGGTTTTGAAAGAATAGGTTGGTAAAGGAAGGGAAAGGGTAGGGAATTCTTTCAAACCAAATACAGCCTAAAAGTTTTATACCATCACCCGAGTTCTTCATTTGTGAACTGCTCTCATTAACCAGATAGAGCATGTTCAAAACAAATGAACAGGGGATACATTGGAAAAGATAACAAAATTAAAAAGCAAAACAAACTAAAAGTCGACTTTAATTTGCCAAAAAATAGCCAGGAATACATATATACTGAAGCTTTACAAAATCTCAACTAGTCTTGATTACAACCAGCTAATGGCACAAGTTTGAACAGTGAAGATAAGAACTGTCGTATTGCCAACTCCAAAAGAATCAGCATTTTCGTCTTAGTACAACAGTTGGCAACTATAGAGAATAGACAAAAAAATGCCACATAAAAAAGCCACATCCCAGTGGTTTCCATAAAGATCACCATTTTCATCTCTCTGTTCATCCTGTAATCAACTACTGTGTATCTGTATAGTATACCATGTACCTACCATATCCTAATATACTGCTTAAAGAAATGACATAAAACAAAACTGTCATAGGAAGGATACCGCTTTAAGGACTACATGTCATATCCTAATATACTGCTTAAAAATATTCACACCACTGTCATGAGAGGAATACTGCTTGGAGGACTGTATGTGTCATATACTAAATCCATTATAGAAATTTTAGAAAAGATTGTCAAGAGAAAGGAAGGGGCATTAGTCCCAACCACTAGCCACAACAGGCTCATGGTTGAATCCATACACATGAGAAGTGGTCGAATAGGGACCATCACCAGCATCACCAGGTCCAAAACTATAAGAATTGTAGTAACATTTCCCACCCCTTGGAGGAGCATCACCAGCTCCACCAGGCCCAGACCTATACGAATAGTAGTAACAGTTCCCACCCCTTGGAGGGGCATCCCTCCGGTAATCATGGCCTCCAAACCTACCACTACCATACTTGCAACTCCTTCCACCCCCACCATAAAATGATGACCTCTCGCTATGCCTCTCAGCATACTGACTGAGCCAGGCAGGGACCTCCTGATGTGCTTCCTGCATGAGTTCAGACAGTGCCTTTGCTATGGACCGATTCCCTTCATTAAAGAAGGCTGTTGCCAGGCCAGACTTACCAGCACGGCCCGTCCTTCCTATTCGGTGAACATAATCATCTATGTCTTTTGGCAAGTCAAAGTTGATTACGTGAGAAACATGAGGAATGTCTAAACCTCGTGCAGCCACATCCGTTGCTACCAAAATTGGAGTATGCCCACTCTTGAAGGATCTCAGGGCCTTTTCCCGCTCCTAAAATGGACAAGACAAGAAATAGCGTGTATTAAAAAAACCAATCTAAGAAAAGCCAAAACACCCATATAAGTAACTCAAGGCTCAACATTTTATAACCAGGTATAGAACTTATTAACATATAAATGCAACTAATATGCAAAGTAGCATGTAGTTGTATTATTGAGAAAATTGGAGCACACTGACCAATAGTAAATGTCATCCGTATATGATATGGTTGCCAAGTATTATGAGGGGAAGTAGCCAAATCATGTCTGAGTATTAATTGTTTGTTCATTAGGAAACCACATGGATTGCACCAATGCATCTAAATCCTTCTATTCTCAAAAACTGAGAGCATAAATTCATCTTTTGAAATGGTTCCATTACATATCAGTAAATAAAAACAGAATTCAGATTTAAAGCAATTATAACACTTCAAAGTTGTTCTAATCATGAAGTCATTTTCTATTATGATGTGCAATCAAATCATAAAGCAAAATAAACCGTTTTTATCCCACATAGTTCTCAAAAACCCAATTTCTTAACTGAAAGCTACAAATAAAAAACAGCCCAGAGCTTTACAAAATATTAAAAATCTATGCAACATTATAGCTCCAACTCATCATCATCATCCAAGCCTTATCACAACTATATGGGGTCAGCAACATGATTCGGTTTTACCATTACATTCTGTTCAACGCCATGTCCATTGTTAAATTACTCTAACCCCTAAACCCATCTCCCCCAGAAATTACAACAAGAAAGAAAAATAAATTCATCACACTGGTGACAGAAAGCTTCTACAATAGTTGAGGTTGCAAAAGCATAAAGGACATTGAATGCAAGCATATGACAGACAGAAAGTGAAAGATGGATAGTTCTACTAACCACTTGCACTTTGTCACCATGTATTGCTGTTGCAAGGAAACCATTTGTAGAAAGCCAATGTTCTAACGAGTCTGCTCCTTTCTTTGTCTCAACAAAAACTAATGTTAATGTTTGCTGCAAAACAGATAATATAGTAATTATTACCAAAGAAGAAAAATGTTTTGTATATTATAGATTATATCTCTAACAAGAGAAAACATTTTCCCCAATCATCTATTGAAGAAAATAATGGCAAAAGGCAGGAAGGTGCCCACATACAAAAATCAGTTCATTACAGGCAATGCAATTTCAGAAGGGAAGATCACTATACCTTTCCATGGGTTCCACTTACACTTTGGGCATGAAGAAGATCCAATAGATAGCTTCTCTTGTCCTTTTCTTGAACAAATTCAACTCTTTGAGAAATTAGGTCAGTGCTTGAACCAACCCTTCCAACAGCCAGGAAAATGTAATTTGAAAGAAAATCAAAAGCTAATCTCTGCAAAGTACATAAGAAATAAATTAGGCACACATAGGTCAAGAAAATTGAATAGAATAATTGTAATGACAGCATAATGATACAACAAGAAGCACTAAGGTCCCTGGTTAGCTAATGGTAAAATGCATGGTGTGCATATTGCAATATTTCAACCTCAGAAGATCGCGATCAAATGCCTACACGCATCTTGAATTCTACATCAGCCAAATGCTTAACCAAAATGTAGACAAACATATGCTTTACCAACAAAAAGTCTAGTGGCTTCTTTCCAGAGAGAAAAGGATAAGATAAAGCAACAGACCTGTATCTCATTTGGAAAGGTGGCACTAAATAGCATCGTCTGCCTTACACCTGGTGGAGGCATGTCCATCTGCTCAACAATCCGACGGATCTGGGGCTCAAAACCCATGTCCAACATTCGATCAGCTTCATCCAAAGCTAAATACTTTATCATTCTAAGTGAAACCTTTGTTCTCTCAATCAAATCCACCAAGCGTCCGGGAGTAGCAACTAGGATATCAACACCCTTTTCCAAATCACGCAACTATAAAATTAACAACCAAGGATCAGAATAACAAATTCTGTGTCTATAATCTCAACATTTTGCATGTTTATCCAAAGACAAGCTCATTACCAAAAAAAATGCATATGGAGAAAAAGACTCAAGCGGTAATAACTCAAGATAAACAAGGAATTTGCAACAAGGGGTTGGCAATCAAGAACAGAGGGGACAAGAAACAGGGGATTGACATTTCGCAAAACCATAAGATAAATTTGCCCTGTGTGATCTTTATCTAAAGAGACATCCACAAAGAGAAATAACTCAAGATAATAAATAATCTATATTCTATCAAAAGAATGGCTTTATAATAAACTACAAAACAATCAAGGTTTAGACCTCCGATGGATTCAGCCGGTAATTGCATGCCTTTATATTTGCTAATATCTATTTAGGGTCACTTTGGAAGGGCTGAAGCTTGATTGAGCTGTGCTTCCTTCATAGGAGAGCCACTTTTTTGGCTGAATGACAATGTAGTTGGGCTTTCCTGGTTTTTCATCAAGCATAGCTTAAAGGTTGTCCATGTAGGGCCCACCTACCAAAGCCGGAAGCCGCTGCCTAAAAGCCCTCCCAAACAGACCAAAGAGAGGCATGCCCCGAGTTCACTCCAAAATGACAAATAAAAATAAATGATAAACAAATATAAGATCCAATAACCTTATTGGTTAGTTCCTTTTCGTTTTCTTCCTCTGATCATTAAATATGCAGATGCAATAGAATGTTTATTATGAATATTCAAAAAGTTGAAATAAACAAGTGTAATTTATGAGGTAGTGTTAATAGCAGTCCAAGCCTGTCAAGCAGCACAAGTAAATGCTTTACTCGATGCATGTTAATGCAAAACATTTTCATCCACACAAACAAGAGAATACAGATTATTGAAACAAGGCAACTAAACAAGGAATGGAAAGACTTTGAAATTCACAGAAGCAAGAAGACCTGCTGAAACACTGGAGCTCCTCCATAGGCAACAACAACCCTCACCCCTGTCTGATAAGAGAACTTCTTGGCCTCCTCGTGTATCTATACAATCACAATTTCGAATGGGATGCTTCAAGAAATATTCTCTAAAGTGAAACAATTCCAAAATCAAATAGTTATCGGATAATGCACCTGACAAGACAACTCTCTGGTTGGGGAGAGAACAAGAGCAAGAGGGCAAGCTGTCCGTGCTCCATGCGGTGGCATCGGCTGCTGCATCCAGTTCCTCATGATCCCACTAATAATGGGGAAACAAAATGCTGCCGTCTTTCCCGACCCTGTCTGCGCACAAGCCATCAGGTCCCGCCCGGCAACGGCAATGGGAATTGCGTGGCGTTGAACGGGGGTCGGTTTGACATATTTACATCTCCGAATGTTCTCACTCAATGCATCCCCGAGATCGATCTCGGCAAACGTGTTAACCGGCGGGGGCACATCAGAGCCACTTGTCTCAACAGGAATGTCTTCGTAAGCATCAAAGTTAATTCCACCACCACCGGTCTCGTCCTGGGAAACCTCCAAATCAGCAAATTTATCAGCAACATCAAATGGGTTTGTCTCATGGCCTCCTCCCCTCTGGCGGTCCCCCCATCTACACCTCCCTGACCTTCTAGATTCTCTACTCCCGGAACGGTTCAATTGAGAACCAGGTAAAGTTTCATTAGAGGAGGGAATCTGAGATGATACGGGTGTGGAAAAACTCTTGTTTCTGAGATGAGGAGGAACATAGCAAGCGCGAGTGGGGCGAGAAGAGCCAGAAGTCTTCTCCAAAGCCTCATCAGCCAAAGACAGAGTCATAATGATCAATGATAGAAAGATTCTGAATCCTAAACCCCAGAAACGTTACGACCGATATCCAAAGATTCTGAATTCTAACCCTTAAAAACACTTACAATTCCGGAAACCTTCAACTACAAAAGTGAAAACTCTGAAAACTCCGGAAGTTTTCCTACAGAAAGGCAGTCAGACCCAGTTCAGTTGCTTCGACGGTTCTACTCTGCTTCTATAGCTAATGACGAACTGAGAAACCCTGAAACTAGTGGGACTCTAGTATGACTTTTTACAAAACTCAAAAACGACGTTAGAGAGATCAAACCAGGAAAGCTGCTATTGTTATCCTTATCCGACAATGTCGCAATGTATAGAGCCTTGCAGATGTATATAAACCCTAGAAGTAGCAGTAGCTATGGTGTTTGCTTTTCTTATGCTTTTCGTAAACCCTAGAATAAATATCATTCCGGCTCGAGGAAGAGAGTGGGATGCGTCATGCGAGAAGTGAGAGAGTTTTCAGGAATTGGAGATCATCACGAATGCGCGCTTTTTTTCACCGGAACGAAGATGTGTATTTTAGTTATTAATTAATTAATAATTACGAACGAATATTATGGTGAAACGGGGATATCTGTATGTTATGCATCAAAAATTCATGTCCATAGATCCTAGCCTCTCTCGTTGAGGAATGTATAGATGTACAACCAGGATCTGCGTGGAGTACCAAATCTCCTTAGCTCGTTAACATTCTATACATCACGCCTTTGAAAAGCACCTCGCGTTTTAAAGGGAAAGGATACGGGACTACCGAGATCGGTAGTCAAACCGCCACTTCTAACTATGCATTGGGAATATTTCCGTACTTACATGTTTTTTAATGCGAGATATTCCCAATGCACAGCTTCAAATGGCGTGATGACGGAGTGAGCACTGTCTTGTGAGTACGGAATCCACGTTCGAACCTACCACGGAAGAAATATTAATTAAAAATTTAATAGAAAAGAAAGAACGATGTACGGTCGATTACGGGGAATCGAAGATCTCCTCTGCAGGACTGCGAGTCTGCGACGTTTCCTTCTCTCCGCAAGTTTGAAATGACGGAAATGCCCATAAAGCTGGAGATCGTGATATTGTGAACGTGAAGAGGATATGAGAGGTTCTATTATTCCAGCGTGTCGGCTTTTCATTGGATGGAGTGAAACGGAGTTCAGATCTTCTTATTTTTGTTTCTTTTTTGAAGCATCAAGGCAATTGAAACAGACACGTAGGATAACACGTCAAGGTAGTTTCACGACTACGGAGAGACTTCGAATCCTGTATAGTCGGCTCGAATGTTGGACCAATTATGATAAGCCACGTCAGCTACATGAAGAATAGTCTGAGTAGATTATATATCAGCATCTTTTTCTCCTGGAGCGCGCCTCACAACCACATCCCACCTTCTATTGAGAACATCCCTTGAATAATAAATACAAACGCTCATGTGCAGTCAAAACATACTGTGATGTCCGTGTGAAGCGCACTTTCTAAGGAGCATATCCGGACTCCACGCCGAGGTGGTGTATAATTGGCCTTCGTGTATATAAATACAACTCGATCGTGGAGAAGAAATATAACAAACATGGATTCTTAATCCTACATCATTAAGGAATCCATTTGCTAAGTGGAGATCATGGAATATTTCACATGGGAAATTATTTTTTATAAGTAAATAAACTATAATTAACAAAAATCAGAAATAAACCGTTGTATACAAGCTGGAGGACTATCTATTATGAAAAGTTAACATCCAAACAACTTAGAATGGGCAGCCCAATTATAATTCCTAGCAATATAACAAAACTTTATAACTGATAAAACTGAAAATAAGGCTGAGTTTGGAAGCAATGTAAATCAAGACCAATGTAAATATTAATGTCAGTTTGATTTTTGTTAGTGTTTGAAAGGATTATAAATCAAAATTGACATAAAACTCCACTCCGATTCGGTTTGTATACGTTGGGATGAAGTGGAGTTTTATGTTGTAAATTGATGTAAAACTTCATTTAAAGTAGAGTTTTACATCGATTATTGGTGTAAATACTACATCGATAAAATCAATGTAAAACTCTGCTTTTCTCATCATGTTTTTTGAAATTCAAACAGTTCAAAGTAAGACATCAACGATGACATTTTTACATCAGTTCCAAACACAGCCTAAAGACTGAATTTTGTCCACGCAACAAAAAAATTCCAACCGTGCTCTTTAGCAAAAGTTCAGCCATTGTACTTAAGTCGTTACACTGAAGTAGGGGTGGCAAATGGGTGGGTTGGTTGGGCTGGGTGAGGATTGAGTATCAACCCACCCACATTGACCCTTCGCTACCCTATTTATTGGTAGGGCTGTAATCGGATTGGACTTGGATCGAATGCATTCGATCAGATTAATGATAGCATACACCCAAATTTGATATGAAATCCGATCGGATTTAAAGACTTGGACTCGAATCCAAATCGTAACGGATTCAGATTTAATCCAAGTCCGCTATAAATTTTCTAAAATACCAAAAAAATAAAATTATTTATTTTTAACCTTTATATATAATAAAATTAATATAAATATAACACATTAAATTTAATATATATATATATAATATTTTTATAATTTTAAATATAATTATATAAATCTTATATATTAAAATTAATAAATATTATATTAATAGAATTCATATTTTAATCGGATCGGATGGGGTCAAATCCGAATCTAGTTTGATTAAAATATATAAATTCACATACACTATAATATATAAAATATATTTTTATAATTTTAAATATAATTATATAAATCTTATATATTAAAATTAATAAATATTAGATTAATTGAACTCAGATTTTAATTGAATCGGCTGGGATCAAATTTGAATTCGATCCGATTACACATTTTAATCAAATCGGATGTCGGATCGAGCCTCGGGTTTTTGGGTATCATTGATGGGCCTATTTATTGGGTCTTGGTGGGTCACAACCCACATTGACCTTGACCCACTCTAACCAACAACCCATATAACCCGTTAATCCAAGGCAAGTATTAAGAAAATATAAATATTAAGAAAAATATTAAAATACCAATATTAATAAAAACACAAAATTGTAAAAAGTAATAAAGAAAAAATTGACATAAATTTGTAGGAAAAATGAAAATAATAAGATTAAAAAAACAGATATTGTTTTAAAAAGTAGAAATTGCATAAAACACCTAAATTGACAAAAAAAATAAAAATCATTATATATTTCAACCCAAAACTCATGGAAAATTAAAAATGATAAAAATTAAAAAAAAATCAACTAGTAAAACAAAATTGTATAAAAACACAAAAAACAAACTGAAGAAATATACAGGAATTTGCAGGAAAATATAAAAGTTACAAAGCAAAAAATTATATAAGTTGCAAAAAATTGCAAAAAAAAAGCATAAGTTATAAGAAAATACATAAGTTGTAGCAAATGTAAAAAATACAAACAAATATAAAATGTAGAAAAAATAATAAAGATTATAAAAACAACAAAAATTACAAATAATAAAAGTGTTGAAAATGCAGACTGTGTTCTACAACATTTGGTTTGCACCAGATCTTCAACCTTCGTCGCTGGCTATCGATGCCATTGCAAAAAAAATAAATAAATAAAAAATAAATAAATAAACATAGAATATACTATGGCCTTGCTCTATAATGGCAAAAAGACCAGATTCGATGCGAATTCAACCTCACTCGTCAGTCAGCTACATTGTATTCGCAAAAACATAACTCTCAGTTACCTGCTCTCTCTTCCATTGGAGATGAAGAATAAAAACACAAACATCAATAAGAGCTATTCGAACCATTGTTTGTAATCGTCGATTGTTGCTACATATCCCTACTTTCTCCTATCAATGGTGAAGAATAAAAGCACAACCCTCGTGGAGCTATTCAAACCTTAGTTTGTTAATTGCCAACCACCACTCATCTCACTTCTCACTCCTTCCGTTAGTGGTAGAGAAGAAAACCTCGATCTTCATGGAGGTATTCGAAGTTTCGAACCTCAGTTCGCCAGTCACTGGCCACCGCTACATCTCCTTTCACCTTTCAATTATGCAAAGTTGCAAACCAAACCCTTTCTCTTCATTCAATCATTAATGTTATGACCCAATGGGTACCTTTGGCCCAACCCCACCTTGACCTTTTTTCTCTTGACCCAAATGGATCACTCGACTCACATAAGAGATAGGTGGGTTGGATGGGTCAAATGCATGGATGGCAATGGGGCGGGGATCATATTCCCCATCCCCGCCCCCGATTCTGAAATTAATCCCCATCCCCGTCTTTGATTCTTGCTGGGGATAAAATTTGTTCTCTATCCCCGATCCCCAATGGGGATGGGTTCTTCGTAGGGACCCAAAATTTTTTTAGATAATAATATTTTTTGAAAAATAAAATAAATAAAAATTTTAAATTATAAATAATATTTTAAATATGTTTTGATATATAATATAAATAATATATGTTTAATGTAAATAACATATATATATAATCGGGGTCGGGTGGGGCGGAGACCGCATTCCCCATCCCCGACCCTGACCCCAATTGAGGAATCCTATTAATCCCCATCCCCGTCTCCCCCCCCCCCCAAAAAAAAAAAAAAAAAAATCTCATCCTTGACCCGATGAGGTCAGGGAAATTGGGACCCTATTGGGAATGGAAAAAATTGCCATCCCTAATCAAATGGGTTAAAGTCAAAATTACCAACGCTACTGAAGCTTTACAAAAGCTACAAGAAACTTTTCCACCTTAGATAACTCCCCCATCACATTTGAGAATAACATCAAATAGGTCAAATGAAGGGTAAATGAGGTTTTGAATAACTGGCAGCATGTCATCCACAGAAGAAAGGTGATCATCGATAGCATTAAGCCCACGTTCTAGAAAAAGCTTCATAATTGCATTTAGGATTGATCATAAAAAGAAGAGCTCTAATTGAAAATTATGGAGTTGCAGGTAGACCACATTTGATAAACAGCTACAACAATCCAACTTAAAGCACATGTCAAGCTATCATTATTTGTAAAAGCTTGCATTAAGTGAGTAAAGAAATCAACTAAGGATGTGTTTTATTTTATGTGTAAATTCAATTTTACATTGACGGAAATTATGAACCGATACAGTGATGGATGAAAATTAGAATTTTTTTTTTCAATATTTACACCGATTGTGTTTGGTTGTCAAGGCATAAATTTTGATGAAATTTTTTTGTCATTATTATACACATCGATGTTTGGATTTAGAGATGAAATAATGGATTTACCCGGCTTGGACTGATATTTTCTCGGTGAGAGGTGTTCACTTCTCGCCCATGTGAATCCCTCTTTAGCTTTTACAATTAACCGAGTAACCGGGAGTAGTCGATGAGAAGTCGTATGGAAGAGGAGAGATATCTACATTCGACGGGTTGTTGTCAGCATCATCAAGAGAGCTATTTAACATAAAAAACAAATAGAACAGAGTAGTAAACTGTTTATTACTCTATGAAA